ATATTGCCCCCCGTACGTGAAGTAGGTTGACTCCAGGCACAGTTTGAGGAGTTGGCACACTTGTTCTGCATGTGGAAAGTGTGGTTCTGCTGCTGAGATCTGCTATATTTAATCAGATTATGACTTGTCAAGTCCAAGATGGTTTACTGTTATCCTCTAACAGTTTATCTGTAATTTATTGATCATAATTGTATATGTGCTGTCATGTTTGTTTTTAACATTAAACGTATACACTTGTGGAACATCTGCACTTTTGTGTTATTTTCAATTTTTTTTTACAATCTTGGCATCAAATTACAAATTTTTTTAATATATAAAGTTGGAAAAGTAATCGCCAGTAATCGAAAAAAGTCAGAGATGAATATTTTGGGTCACTGCAGAGAATTTGGTGAACCTCCAGGCATTTAAACATCTTTTTGGTTGTTTTTACCTTACCTTTGCTCTTCATAGATTAAGTTAATATGTTCATTTATGGCTGCATTATCTGCAGAAACCTTTCAGATTTTTAAAGCATATGAAAAAAGCAAATTCCAAGTCCAAACAGATCAATACAGGAAACTTAGAATAAAGACACAAAATCAACAATGTAAAAATAATATGAAACCAGGACTGATTGAAATACACAAGAACATGCACAGAGACTAAAGTGAGTAGTAATTTAGAAATTATGCTTTAATCCATGGATTGTGTCTCGGTTGAGAAGAGGTTGATGTATTGATCTGGACATCATGTGCTTTAATAAGCTGAGTGCAGGTGCACAGAACCTGTTGAGATTGGAAAGTAACCTGGTTTTGTTGCCTCTAACATGGGATCCTAACTGTCAGAACGAATTTGCAGAGGGAAATCTGATATTTCTCATAGATTCTTTGTAAATCAGGTTTTCTGGTTCTGTAAAGGGAACCTCTGTAGACAGAAAGAACAAAACACTGCTGGTTGTTTCAGGCACAGAGCAGAACCTTATTGTTTTTATTCAGCTAAAATGCATACGTGGAATGTTTTTAAATGTTTAAATACAGCTGAGGCTGTGTTTTGTATAAGTCCATGCATGCAGCTCCAGGATTCAGAAACCTTTAAAACTACTAAATTGAACAAATTTTCACAGGGCTAAGATGTTCAAAAAGCAAACAAACAAACAAAATAAATGTATTTTTTTCTGTATGATTTTGCTTTTGTTGTATTGATTTCAGCTTGTTACCTGGTGTGACACCATCTGAGCAGCTGTGGATTGCTCCGCCTTTATTAGCTGCTGGAGATAAACACAGGACAGCAGCAACTGAGCTGAAGAGGACAAATATTGAGGCAAAGTAAAAGTCAACCAGCAGGTGGACTGCTGTGTTATCAGGCCTGAGGAAATAAGTCACATTCACACAGTGAAGATCTGTTTTGTTCTCAGCTAAAGGAACATTTGTCCCAAACAGAATTCTTCCTATTCTCCTTGTCACAAGACGCTGTGCTCAGAGTACATGTTTTGAATGACTCTCAGCTACTCACAAACCCAATTTGTCCTCAGTTTCTGTACAACTTGTCTGAGTTCTAACCTCTTGTTTTGTCAGCTAAAGTCTGTTATCTGTGGCAGCAATCACAGATTCAGAAAAACAATTAACTGCAACCACATCAAGTTTTAGCGCCTGAATTCTAGCAATTCTTGTTTTGCAGCTTGGTGGCCATCTTGGTTTGGGTTGGCTCCAAAAATTTATTAGTTGTAGATTATTTTCTGCAGGGTTTACTAAAATTCATTCAGTGGTTCCTGAAATATTTTAACAAACAAGGTTGATGGCAAAATGTAAACAAAGGTTTAGTGGATTTTGCTCAGAACACATGTTGAGAATCATGTCTCAACATGACTCCATGGATTAAAAAAAGGAATAGAAGCTGAATACATCCATCCATTTTCTATAMCCGCTTCTTCCTTTCAGGGTCACAGGGGTCACTGGTCCAGCTGTCACAGTGCGAGGGGTGAGGTACTAGTTGCAAACCCATCACAGAGAAGTTGAATGAAAATGTATTTTTAGAATATACAACGAGTAAAATAAGTATTGAACACGTCACCATTTTTCACAGTAAATATATTACTAGAGGTGCTAATGACATGAAATTTTCACCAGATGTCGGTAACAACCCATTGATCCATACATACAAAGAAATCAAACCATAAATGTCCAGAAATGAAGTTATTTGTAATAATGTGGAATGGCACAAGGAAAAGGTATTGAACACATGAAGAAAGGGAGGTGTAAAAAGGCATGGAAAG